TCTGTTATCACTCTTTTTTTCTTAATTTCAAAGGTGTACCTGCCATCTGCTCTACCGGAGGACAGAGAAACGACAGGTGTGCCTCTATCACACGCAGGACACACCCGGTGCAAGTGTGCGACACCATGCTGCTTGAACCTCCGACCTTCCACCTCTGATGACCTACCTAACCACAGGGCCTCTCTAAAAGTGCATGGCTCCTCTACTAGCATTAATGTAGACGGTGAAGTCGGGCAGATTTCATTTATTGCGCAGACCACACACACATAACTTGTAACATCCATTATCTTTAAAGGTTAGGCACAATCTCCAAAAGTTTGCTATCACAATTTTACCTTGATTACCTTATGCAGTATCTATATTTTTGTATATAAATGTTGATGGTTTTCATACTGATCGCAGTTTAGTAGGTATATCACATTACGATATGATGCCCCTTTGATACCGCTAAACATAAGGCACATACAAAACACTTTAAGTTATTATATAAAGCAATTTGTCTGACCATCCAAACATGGGTCCGACATTCAAACCCAATTTATCTTCGTACTAACCAAAAAGAAGAGAGCATTTTTTGTATATTCCTTTATCACTAATGTGCTATGAGAACGAACGTCAAGTGAGCATATCAGCAGTATAGAGTAACAAATCTGTATAGTAATTTTGTTATTGTTTTTGATAAGAGTTATATGGGCACGTAGTTTTAGTAATTTTTTTGTTCAAATTTGGGTCAAAGAGGTAAACATCTTTTTATTTTTTTTTTAAAAACAAGATCTTGTTCAAATAAATTATGCAAACCATCTGCATCTTCATGCGGAATTCAAGAAAATGAATGGTTTTACGACGTTACCTATATTGAAATTGGATGTAAAAAAATTAAAATGGTTTTATACTTGTATTATTTTGATTTTTAACGAAGGTAAATTAAACAATTTCACAAACTCTTGATTCCGTAATAATTTTATTTATAAACCTAGACTTCCCAAATCATTTAAAGGTGTCATTAAGTCTTTCCAAACTTTATTAATGGTTATAGGATAATTCTTTACTAAAAAGGAAAATTATTTCGAAGTTTGGGTTTTAGTTATTTCAAAACATATTCTGCCTTTTAATACATAAGTGGCACCTTGTGAATTCGCTAAATTGATCTTGTTTTTGTAGAAATTTGAGAATCCTTTTATCAAATGTAATTGTTGCAAATGAGATTAGGAAATACCTGAGTGCGAAGTTCGAGAAGGAAAAAGATATTGTCGTTCTAAATAAAATCGTGTGTGGCAAGATTTGGGCAACAGCTAGCAGGTGGGAAGAAATGTTTTTTCTTTCGTCTATTTCCTTTTTATTCTACATATTTCTTGTCTTGGTCGTCATGTTCATCTCAGGTCATTTTTACTTTTCTTCAGCAGATTCTGCTGAAGATGTTTTTGCTTTGTTCTAACTCGAAATGTCTTTAGTCTTCTGTTTGCCTCGCGATCTTTCTCCCTCTTCCATATAATTACTTTCTGAGAAGCTAAAAAAAAAGTGCTCTAATAACGCTCCTTTTTGTTACCTTACACTTTTTGTATACTTCTCACCCCTTTTGTTTTCTTTTCACGAAACTTTTCTGAACCTCAATCAGGGAAAAATCGTAACATATAGTTTGTATAGGAATTCATATATTTGATTTGATATACGAATTTCATTCATATTCAGCTTTATTGGTATACAAGTTCTATCTTATATCATGTATATGAATTCATTGACAATAATTGTGAAAATATTCATAACTTGGATAGTGCGCGAAGGGCTTGAGATCCCCACCCCCCCCCCCCCCCGCCCCCGCCCCTCCTCTCCGACGCCATTCAATTCAGTTTGGACAAACAAGACAAGGAATGATCATAGTATAATTTTGTCTTACAACATGAAACACATCCCTCAAACGTCATTGATTTGTCATCAGAAACAAGTCATTGTGTAGTCGTGTATCTTTTTGCTCTATCCCCGTAATTACTGAAAGGTCAATGGACTGGGACTTCCCCCGATTACGTAATCCATGTACTCCGAACCCGTCTATCATAACTCCATTAAATGTTGTGCAAGCCGCGGAGCCAGGCGTTTTATCGAGAAATATATTCCACCAAAATTTAACTGCACCAACTCAGTGGTCCATCACAACAATTGCAAAATGGGAGAAACTCGTTCTGATGGTGATATAACGTTAGACTATGTTTCTTTGGTGTTACCATGCAAAGATAAATTAATCAACAAATTTAAACTATAAAAAATTGAAAAAGAAATATATTATGGAACATTAATCCCACCCCAAAAAAATCCGATGTCCGCCCGCTCGGTCCCTCCACTTCCTCCCATTTCATCCATGTAATAGGACAACTGCTTCCTACCATACAGACACAGACCCCCCCCCCCCCTCCCGAACCAAAAATCATCCATCTTTGGGGTTAGTGTTAGGGTTGCTTGGCTTTGATGTGCTCACCTAATATGGTATCAACTAGAGAGTTGATACCAATATTACAATCTCTGAACAAAAAGTACAAATTGCATGAGATTTTATTGGAATCTACTGGCATAATGACTCTAGATCTATGTTTGATCTTTCATCGCCTTGTCACGTGACAAGGTATATCCGCGTAAATCGAACCCTTCTCCGGTGACTCCCTGCTCGTTAAACGACAAATGACGAATTAAAACTTTGGCTGAGAACGACTCCATTCTAGGCGATTCTTGTGGAAAATTTAAGGACGACCGGAGCCGGAAACCCAGACAATGTTTTGCTCTGTAGCTGTAGATAGAGACGAGCTGAGAATGAGATAAGTACGTGTAGGAGGTGACCAACTTTTCCGAAAAGTATTTGTTCATGAATTGGAATGGTAAAGACGAAACAGTAACGGGACCTCCCATGGACCGACAGCCTACGAGACCGGTGGACAGCGAGACCGACATGCCAGTAGAACGACTCATTGTCGGTCTGACGAATACTCAAAGGAGCTGTCAGAATGCCCGTGAAAATATAGATCTCGTTGGCAGTCGGTCTCCTTCACCATGGACCTACTTGGTGGACTTACTACGAAGTAGGTCCATGCTCTCACGCTCATAAACCTTATTTTATTCCTCTTGGGCTGTTGTTCTCGTGAGCCATCGGCCGTAGGGTATACCCAGGCGCGGATCCAGGATTTCTTAGGGGAGGGGGCCCAACTTTTTTTTTTTTTGCTCCCGAAAATTTGAAAATCGCGCCGGCCGAAAAGTCGCTCAGTGGGGGGGGGGGGGGGGGGGGGGGGGGGGGGGTACAGAGCACAATTTTTTTTTTTTTTTTTTTGCTCCCGAAAATTTGAAAAACGCGCCGGCCAAAAATTCGCTCAGTGGGGGGGGGGGGGGGGGGGGGGGGGGGGGGGGGGGGGGGGTAGTGAGCACATTTTTTTTTTTATTTGATCCTCAAAATTTTTTCAATTTGCACCCCCCCCCCTTGAGCGCCAGGGGGGGGGGGCCCAACCCCCAAAAATCGTAAAAATCACGTGATTTTACATGATTTTTTTCTCAAGGGGGGGGGCCCCGGGCCCCCCCCCTGGATCCGCCACTGGGTATACCAGACAATAAATGTGTCATTAGTAATTTCATTGAACAAAGAAATTACAATTATTTTTAAGTAAGAAACTGATACTCAGAAATTAAATGTTACTCAAAGTTCATGTAATTCTCAAATACCAACAAAATTATTGTAATGAATAGCTTTTAAGAGATCTCGAGAGTTGAGACTAAAATTGATTGCATGGCTTAAAAATTTGGTTCACGCTAGGCCTATGACTTCGATAACAGGGATTGAAATATTCAGCGGTCCCATTTCTCTAACTTTAACAAATACTTTTACAAATATTTGCCTTTTGCTGACTATACGCCCTCTTGAATTAGTTTAATCAGTTAAATGTTCTTTCGTCGTCATGTAATTGTTTACGTCTTCTTGTGTCTAGTCATTACGTGTTTTAATAAATGTTTTCTCTATTGGCCGCTATTCTTCTTTGATTGTTTATGTATTCATACTCTATTCCTAATCATTATTATCTGAGGAGTCCACAATTTACAAGCTCTGCTCTCCCGGGACCTCTCCATTTCCTCAAAATATAAATGCAGTTAAATATGTACTTTTCGTCTTCCTCAAATTTATAAATTATTGTTAAGATTTGTTAATTATAAATAAATGTGACAATGTTTTGTATACATTTTACATTGTATTCGTTACTATGTATTGTATTTTGTTGAAAATGAAAAAAAATCAAAATGGAATGAAATGAAACACGGGGCTAGAACAGACCGCTACTAGGCTTTTACCATATTGTGTGGTCCCATTGCATTCACTAATCCGCGATTTAACGGAATTTAACTTATTCTTTTCTTTTTCTTTCTCAAACGTTTGAGCAATCGATCGTCACCACTTGAAAGCAGACCGAAGCGAGAAATTAGTTTTTAAACCTCTGTCAATCGACCAATCAATATATGAATCACAGTAAGAGCATAGTCGCGGTTTAGTGCAGTGGATAGAATTGGTGTTGATGATGTTGTTATTGAATGAATTGAAGGCCTACTTTATATCCTTCATTTGGCATTGAGCTTTGCATCCGTAATCATGTATCCCCCCCCCCCCCCCCAGCCTCCGGGAGCGGAGGGACCAATGGCTTCCGTTGCGTCGTTTGTATTTTTTTCTTCGATTGAAAGTTTCGAATGTTTACGTGATATAAAGTTATTATTATTGTTATAAGTATTATTATCATTATTATTTTTTACTACTACTACTACTACTACTACTACTACTACTACTACTACTACTACTACTACTACTAATACTAATACTAATACTACTACTACTACTACTACTTATACCACTACTACTACTACTACTATTACTACTACTACTACTACTCCTTCTACTACTTCTACCACTACTTCCACTACCACTGCTACTACTACTACTACTAATGATAATAATACTTCTTCTTCCTTTTATTCTCCTTCTCCTTCTTTTTCTTCTTTTTCTTCTTCTGTTTCTGCAGTTTCTCTTAGCCATTTAGAGATACTTCTTAATACCCTCTACTCCTACTTGTATGCAGGGTTTTATCCACTACCTCTGATTCTGTCTCCTCCTTTTTCTCAATCTTACCTTTTCATTTTCCGCTCCCTCAGAACGAATCAACTTGTTTATCAGTGCTCTTCTTCATGATCTCTTGGAAAAAACAACCGATTCATCCCTCCCTCGATAAATACTTGATGAAGACATCACTATCCAATCTACAATACAAACAAAACTCAAATCAAAGTGGGTAAAATTCCCCTTAAAAGGATCAATTCTAAAGCAAAGGGAGGTAAAAGGACAGTTGGTAAGTAGCGCGCTTTTTACGACGTTTTATACAAAAAAACTTCCCTATCATTCGATGTTCTGGTCAAAATTATTGCATTATGTGTCTGGACAATAACCCACTGTACCTATTTAAGGAGCTTTAGCTGGTTTAGAATTAATAAATTAGATTATCAACAAAGGTGACAGAAGAGGAGAATTCCCCAGGTTGGATGTGCAGTTCGTTGACACCCCCATGTAATCATCACGGTTAAGAATTAATCAGAGGTTGCATGACATGGAGGACCAAGAGAAGTTGGCAGAGTTTCGATGTTTTGGAAGCGATAGCTCACTTGACAAAAAAACTGCTTAAATAACTTACAATTTAAAGATGGATTAGCCTTTATTGTTGTTCTTATTGAAGAAGGAAAAGTAAATGGGGTGAGGTAGGTTTAGATGTGACTATAAATACCGCGAGATTTATGTTGCGTAGAAGCTGTTTGTTGAGAATCTGCAAGGCTATTACACGTGTTGAGATTCGATGACCTTTTGACAGTAGTTTAGTACAAATTTATAGTAGTGATACAAGATTGCGGGTTCATTCAAACAACCATGACACATATATCAACATTCTGTTTTGCGAAAGGAAAAAGTACAAAATGTGACGAATTAATTTTTTTAATACTGACATTATCGATTCTTGAATCTTGCGAGGAACTATCGAAAAATCTTAAATGGAAGGACTCTATATTTAAAATGGTTAAATTTATACACATTTTTTAGCAATTTTTTTTTACATTTGTTCTTTTTCTTATTTCCTTGCACATCACCACTTTTCTAAGTTAAGCAAAGATACATATAGTTGACAAGTTTCGCATGGGTAATTGATAAAGTACAAACAAATATTTCACGAGATTCCTCGGGTCATCTTCTCCACAGGACGGGCTTTCGTTTCATGTCTGCTGCCAGCTCTCGCTAATACTTGCATTTTAGTTTCCTATTTCTATGATTCCCCGTTCCGGCTTCAACATAATATTCCAATAGATATATAAAATGAACGAATAATAAAAAGGTTATTTTCATTATTGTTTCTATTTGGTAGTTTTCGACTTATTCATAATCAGAAGCTCTCAACTTTTATGAAATTGTATTTTTTTTTATTTGCTGAAAAATGAATTATTCTTTCATTAAAAAAATAAAAAATAAATAAATAAATAAATTAATTAATTAATTAAAAAAAAAAAAAAAAAAAATTAAATCTGAGCGGAAGCAACCAATAAGCAGGGCCGTAGCCAGAGATTGATGTTTGGAGGGGCACATACATGTAATCGATCGACGTCCTGGGGAGGGGTCTAAAACAGTTCAACCGATCTTGGAATTTGTTGGGGGGGGGCATGTGCCCCCCCCCCCCCCCCCGTGGCTACGTGCCTGCGAATTAGCGAAACCAATCAGTGATAGCTTGAGAGAAACCGACAGTAAAACTGTATATTATATTTGAAACACAATATCACTAATACCGTGTGATATATTCCAACCTTTCAAACATTCACTTATAAGTTTTTTCTTCTGATTTTCAGTCTATACTCAGGCCAACCAATGATTCAGAAGCCATTAAAGCTTTCGTGAATTCCGGTCTTCAACATTAAAGCATAGGTACATTATATAGCCCGCCTACAACATGACAAAAGAAGAAGTCCCGTGTCATGTACTAACATGTTGGACACATTATGAGTCATCAATGGATTAACATAGCGGCTCAGGTTCTCCAATACTTCTTTTAAAAAAATTCCCAAGAAAATACCCCCATTCAAGATCAATCTTTCTCGCCCTCCCAGATCAATAAACCGTCGGTATCACACACTTGATGATCGGGTATTGGGGTGTCTTTAGGCCAGCTCATCGTTCATTTATCCTTCCCTCTCACCCTCGGATCATTTGACAGAGTGAAAGAAAACAGAAAGAAAAGAGTAGCTAGATCGCCGGACAATGCTACTGAAAGCGGCAATAAAGAAGTAAAATCAACTACTTTGACTAATCCGTATAATCCATTATTAGGACCACCGTGTGTCAGTCGTGTTTGTAACTGATATCTTCACCGCAATGGTCGCATGCTGTTGCGTGTAGTTCAAGGAGTTTTAAAACTCCTTGTGTAGATCGATACAGGATTGAAGTTGCCAGGGCCAGCATATTGCTGGGAAATATTACCGTTGTAACATTTCCATGGTTTCAAGAAGAACCCAGATCAGGGAAATTCCCTGATTAGATGGAGAAGGGGCGTATATGGACGTTATCTACCAATTAAGATGTTGGCAAAACAAACACATACGCAGGAGCGAAGACACCGGGAGATGGTGCAGCCCCCCACATATTTTCATAGTTCTGTATTTGCCTATGCGAGTAATTACGCCCCCCCCCTCCCCTCCCCTCCCTCTCTTCTTGCTCTATAGATGGATCAACTTATTTACACACGCATACAAATCAATGACAAGCCTACACATCACGCAAATATTTACATGTAATTAATTCCTGAAACAACAGATCCTGTTTTTTAAATCTCGTTACATCGTTATACTCAATTAAGTCAAGAAGTTGCCTTAATCAATAGGCCATTATCGTAATGTAACTGGATTCATAATTAACTACCTCGATTACTAATTATTTCATTCACCTGTTAAGAATAATTGTATTTCAATAATCAGAATGCAAATTGCATATATTACGTGTTGTTAGATATAGGACAAGCAATTATGTTAGTCCTACCTAGCAACAAATAATTCTGACTATTGAGACACATTTATTCGTAACAGTTGAAAGAAATCATTCATATCGAGGCGTTTCATAAAGGCATATGCGTAAATTATATTATGTGAATGATAATCATGTTGCATTCGGTTGAAAAAATTCAAGACCACTCATACAAACACAAATGTAGGTATATCAGTACGTACATGGCTCATACAAACCATAATAACTCTATTGAATTGTTAAATTATTTAAAGAAAAGAAAAACAATACTAGACTAGACAGGGAAAGGTCAAACAAGGTGCTTTTTAAAAAAGTTCTATAAAGATATTTGGGTTTGAATAGGCCTAGGCTATTTAAAATTGGAGAGTGAAGAGTTAACCAGAAGCACACACTGTCAATGAATTAACATCGGGTCTTCAATTATTGCATATCTGAAGTCTCCTTCATTTTGTTGGAAATTTAAACATAAGAATCGAAGTATTTCTTTGATAATAACGTCATGATGACGATTCACGAAAAAATCAAAGAGGATAGAGACAATACCTAAAGGTTCTTCTACTCCTGGAGCGGACAAAAAGACACTCTTCGTAATGGGCTAGTTCTTCCGCCGCTGGTCCGTTGTTCAAAGACGCGCGCGTTAAAGTGGGGGATGTTTTGTGTCGGTCGGCTCTTTGCGTGGGTCGCCGTTTTGATATGGCTTTTGTTGCCAGGTCTTTATCCGGATAAAGTTAAGTAAAGGCCTACAATAGCTTTTGTGTGGGCTGGGAAATAGCAAAGTTTAATTTAAAAAGGTTAATTAAGTGGTTAGGGAGATTTAAGGCTCGTGCGTGGTTCTTTCTTACATTGTTAAATTATCCTTTATTTGATTTTGATTGGGATATCTTGTAAGTTGACAGGGTGGGTAAGAAGGGAAAGCAATGAGAGATATAAGAACAGGAATGGGGATATGCGGGAAATATGGGTCTGTATGTATTAAAGATGGATGTGGGCGTGTGGGAGGGGAAGAGGTGGGGGTAGATAGAAGCAGAAAGGCAAGAGGAAAGATACTGGCACCGAGAAAAGGGGAGGAAAGTATGTATAACGAATAAAAGCTAGAATATTGTGCGGACAAGGACAAGTTTAAGCTACGTTGAAAGATGAAAACAACAACCACAATTTTTTAAAAGAAATTATACCATTTTGTTTTGTCCTTCATTCGAAATGTACGAAATCGAACGATTATGGGTTGACTTATTTATAGCACATCTATATCATAGGCAATGATATTAAGTGACGTCTCTATAACAATTAAGAACCGTCGGGAGAAAAAAAATCGACAAGTTTGCGCTTATGTAGTACACATGGAGCAAAGTCCCCTTTAATGATGATAGTCTGCCATAATTTGAAGAAAAAAAAACAACATTTGTCTGCCATAATTTGAAGAAAAAAAATAACATAGAAATATTGTTTTTTTCTTTTCTTTTCAAAACTGTCAAATTTGCCGATAATTTAAAGAAAATGTAGAAAAGAATTGAAATGGAGGGGTATCGCATCCGTCCCTCTGGGACTGGGGACCCCTTACTCGATCGTAATAAAACTTCAGCTTTTCCATATTTATTCATTGCTGCTGAATACCCAGAATAAACAAATAATTTGAACTTCTTTAATAGTTCCATCATTGCCTGAATCAGAGATTTCCCTTTACTTTCTCTCGATCATGAAGTTTGAAGGTGCTCCACGGCTGGGCTGACAAGGAAACACCCTCAATATCCGAGTCTGATTGTGGTCACATATAGGCCATAATTGCTTAATAGTGTAATACGGTAATTTGTGTGTGGAGAACCTCCCGGCTGGTGTAATTGTGGTCAGGGAAAATAATGAAAAAAGGTTGTATTACTTCAGACCAATTAGAATAGTTGAGGATACTAATATCTTTTAAATAAAAGATAGTTTCCGTTGGTTAATGCCGTTGTCATTGCCCAAATAACCTCGATTCTTTTACGCTGTCTGACAAAAATATGTTTAGAATGATTGTTGAATCGCTTATTGCAGATGGTTTGACAGCTTGCTCGCTATTACTTCTACTATTACTCAATTCTTCGTCTCTAATTTAAGTTCTTACTTTTTGTTACTGTCGCTCTTCTTCTTTAAAATGTTGTTCCTTCGTATGCATAAAATCTTATGCACGGTTATGCAATATCTATAGCATTTTATTTTGGACTGTATACGCGGGACTCAGCTTTTTTTTCCTTTTTTTTTTCTTTTTTTTTTGGGGGGGGGGGACGTATCCCCCATAGATAATATTTCCGAAAGGCGTACCTATACAATTGAAAACAAATTGATGTATTTTATCGCAAAATTACTTTTTGCATGTTCTTTCGAAATTTATCTCTTGCTAAAACTATACGACTCTCTTGAGAGAATCTTTAGAATTTACAGCACTTATTGGTCATAATTTTTAACTGGTTTTTCATTGCAGATAAACAACTGACAGATTTTAGTTTTTCACAAAGAAAATGGAGTATACTAAATATAAAAAGAATAATGTACGAGAAGTTTTTTGAAATTGATGACTTTGAAATATTGTACAAACATTTGAAATACCAACATGAAACATTTGAAATACCAACAACGAACCACTGACTATCCCGGTCGATTGGAAACGGAAATGCGCCATGGAATAAAAGAACGTTTTTACATAGAAATGTTCCCTCAAAGTACTCTTAATTGTTAGTAGCCAATTAGGACGTTGTCCCTTTCTTTTGATAAGTAATCCTAACTTCCTCTTGATATCAAAAGTAAGGTTTAAATAACCGATAAAGAATCGATAGGCTGGGAGTGGTTGGTGTTCCAGTCATTGTCTTTGCTATCGACTTTTGTCCACGTTGTATTCCGTCTTTACATTAACTGAAACTCGCTTTCTCGTCATGTCGCGTGCCCCATATTAAAAGTGTTCAGAAGCTTTGTGAGCAACTATGATTATGTTAAATGTAAATTAAATAATTGTTTTAGGTGATGATTATAAATTAGGTGAACTTCGAGGAAATTTGTACTTACACTGAGGAGATATAAGTAGATATTGTACAATTCACAGAATTGTAAGCGATGACGGTTTACTAACCCCAAACATGCCGAACAGGCGTAAATAGACAAAATGAAAAATAGATTAATGAATGCTTATATATTTATATGATGTCAAACCATGAAGGAATTACCAAATTAAAGACTAGAGGAATGAATCAAACCATTGCCAAATAAAAAAGTGCATTTTTATTATGATTTCATTCATTTTTCTGTTTGGGAAAATTATGTATTAAAAGTGAAGTGATAAACAACGTTAGAAATGCGTATTTGTTTTTCTTAATGTAATTTGCTCTTGTAATGTAGAACATCTTATGTGATGAAATGTTGTTTGTTTGATTGTCAGTCATCATGAATTAATCGCTTGAACAACAAAAATTGTATACTTCATTATTATTATTATTCATTATTATTCATAAAATCGCCAAAAGCTATGCGATTTATTTAAGATGCGATCATACTTTCACATACTGTAATAAGATACTAACGAAGTCGCAGAGAGGTATTAACATCCGAGTTTAATGAGGCCAGTGCCTAGATAATGTGACATCATTATATCACAGACGAGATTTATAATCGGTGTCATGTCTTATTTTCATCAGGAAGAGCTCAATTGTCTAGTGGATGCTATTTTACGACCTCGCACAAATTTGAAGAAATCGTGCAGGAAAAATATAAAAAATAGAACGTCGATGAAACGAGAATGAAGATGATACAGCACTTTTAATTTTCACCAGGCCTTCTCCTTCCTATACTTCAATCTATTCTCATATACCAAGGACGAAGTCTATCTATATGTGCAAAGGATCAAGCCACATAATGAGCTTACAGCATTTATAGTGTGTACAAATTGCAATGCTAAATTACCGTTATCAAAGTTCCTCATACAGAACAAGAAGTGTCAAATTATAGCCCTTACCGTGATATCTACAATTTTACTCGGGGATTTCTTTTAGTATTTTGTCAACGCGAAGAGCTGTTAAAACAGATTTGATGTCACTTTGTGATAATTTAACTTTCATAGACATTTTATTTTTTCATGTTAAAATGACAAATAATACATTTTCCCTCAAACATGTAAAGAAGTCTACGGAATTGTCTTTCACATTACCTGTTAATGCGTCTACCTGCTGGACATATTTTTTGTCATTTTTGTTCTCATATTTTGTTCAGGTGTTTGAGTCAATGTCAGTTCTCTCCCACGTGATCTATTAAAGGAAACATGAAATATCACTCTCATAAAACTCACCGCGATGAGAAGGCAATAACCAAGCAGAACAATGAACTCTCCAATACATACATTCAAGATATAGGAAATCCGACTTTTCCAAGAACTGTTTCCTCTTTTATATAGTTTTACAGTTCATTTCCTTCTGACGCAAAGGTAAAATCAGACATTGATAAGAAACGAAGTCAGTCAATATGGAGGCAGATATAGATTAAAAAAGCTTGTGTTTAAGAAACGCGGAATAGACTAAAGACAAGTTTTTTGTTGCCACTTGAATGTAACATTAATCATCTGTATTATGCAAATTTAAATAATGTAGCACCAATTTTGAAGAAAAGTGATCAGATAAAACATATTGAGGTGTATAGGATTTGTATATAATGAATTTAACATGGGGGAGATGGAAACATTCGAAATGCAGTATGTATAGATTTTTGAAGTTATCAGCGTTTAAAATCAACTCAGTGAGTTCTTAAATCATGTTATCATTTTTATTCGTTGATATATTTTAGTAAAATATCATCCAAAATTCATGTAATAATGGTATGCCATATAAAACTTTACGTATCACTTATAATCTGAATGTAATAGGCCTATGTGAATCAGTATCAATTCATTTAATAAATGTTGTCTTTAATGATCTTATACTGATTCATAGATTATTCTTGATAAATATCTCAAATGAATACTGCATGAATTTTGATATCACGAACTTGAGGTTAAATTTTGAATATCTTCTCATGTCCTTTGTAGATTTTGTTTTGTAATGGACCGCTTATCTTTTCAATTAATTTCGCCGTACTGTTAAGAAAGGTATAGCCTTACATTATGTATCCATTCCTCGCGAAGCCCTTCTCAATTACCAAGGTATACTATTGGAACATATTTTACAAGATTAAACAAAAATTGTGATATATCATGTTCTTGTCGTCGTGGGGGATTGCATTTCATATTGTCAAATCACATTTCATCCTGAGCGTCTGACATAGCATATTTCACTTGAATTGTATAACTCAGAATGACTTAATGCCCAAACATTTCATCGTTATGAACAAGGAACAAAATTTACTTTGACAAATACCCTACTTATTCGGTGCATTATGATAAAGGTGACGGCCAAAATACAAGGGAGTATTTAAAGATGGTGTACTTAAAAGTTGGAAAGAAAAATCCAGAGGTTGATTAAGAATCGTTTACAGTTTCATCACAAACAAAGCCATGCTATTGTGTGATCGTGTGAACTTGCGCGATCTTCCGTCAAAACTTAACACTCTACTCCATTTATTTGATTATAAGGTCGAGGCTGAGTTTCTTACAAGTCTTAAGTGATTAGAACATTGAAGACAAAATAGACAGAAGAGACACAAGAAAAGAAAAGAAAGAGAGACAAAACTTTGCAAAGAAGATGCGCGGTTTCCCACGGGATATCTCAAAAGAAGACGATAAAACAAGTGCCGATGTAAAAAGCGACCCGGCTTTTGAGAAGGCTCTACAGAAAGGGAGCTTTTGATTGGGCGAGGAACCGACCAATGACAGCGCTGCAGACGACATATATACGGCGCGCGGTTTGTAAGCTATTGTTTCGCACCGTTAAAACAGTATCAATAGCCCCCAAAAGCTATAAGCGACGAAGGCAAAGTGACCGGGTGTATCAAGCAAGCATCATACTCTAATTCTTCTCGATAGCCACTAAATACTAGGTCATTAATCTCACCTAGAGCTTAGTTAATCCGCAGCAAATAGCCGAGAACAAGTCTCACTATTCCCGCCTCTCGCAGCGATCTGGATTTTGTAACATCGAAACTGTCACTTTTTATTTTTGCTACATCCGTCCGTCAAATATTGTTTGCTCATTTAGTTTTACGAACGAAGACAGGAAAGTTTGCCTTTTTGTTTTTCGTTTGTCTTATTGACGCATTTTCCGTTGTCTCTCTTCTTAACATTTATAATTTGATCAATAACTTTTCATGGTCATGAGAAGGAAAGATTGCTGTTCCGTCTGGCCTCAACACGCTGAATATTGAAACAGGTTCAGGACATGATTGAGTAAGAAAGTGGGAATGAGTGGTGCAATTTCCAGTTTTTCTGCCAAGCTAACTACTCGCGGTAACGGAATTTGATCTACCGGTTGCCCTTTATTTCCACGCAACATTTTGATCTGTTGGCATTTGTTTCATAACTCGCAAGAAGGAATGCTACAATATTGCCAGGCAACTGTAGAAGCACATTTCATCAGTGACGCATCTTCAATGGTACGACTCGTCAACTACTTTGGGATATGTAGAGGGAAAGAATAACCATCTTCGCTTCTTGGATATCTACTGCAGTCTCTTATTTATATCAAGTCGAACTGGGAAATGACAGAATCTTACTGGAAGTAACATACTGAAAGAACCTTTCTACCCCTTCAAGACCGAAACTGAGGATATTTTATAATTTCACTTTGGAGTATCGCTATTATCTGATCGAGGATTATAGAGAGGAGGACCGAGTTCATAAACCTGACTTGACGGGACGTTACCCCTGAGGGGTCTTACTAGACACGAGTGGAAATACGCTTCAATTCATCCTTGTGGTCTTTTGCCGAAGTCTCATACTCTTTTAAGACACTACACTTTTTTTTCTCTTGGAGTTAGTTTTGATGAGGATATTGAGATGAAACTTGAGTGGTTTGTAGCGTTTTTCTTCATTCCTACTGCCAGCTTACTCGCTAAGAAGACTACAGCGGCATCAAGTACAAAATGGTGGTAAGTACTCGATTCTCTCTCAGATTCATATCTTCTTCATATACACTAACTAAATATTTTCACCTTCAATCCTACATTCGTGTGTGTGATATTGAATGATATTGACACTGGTGAAATAGCATGTATATCACATAGGGTTGTCCGTGCTCTGAAATATTAATATATAATTAAACAGTTCACCATAAACAATATCCCTATGAGTGTCCGAGAAATCATGATGTTTTATATTTTACTAAATCGGTTGACGGATCATAAGAGAGAACTGCGACAATATATTGAATGAGTGGATGAAAACAAATCCAATGAGCTATAATTACTCGCTAACATATTTGACTAATTGAATACTTAATATTTAATAACAGTACATTTCTTACATGACAAAGGCTTTTGCATGGCGCCAATGATTAGCTTATATCATGCTATTTTGCTAAAATATATTTGACCATTTTGTCAACATACATTTTTGTTCGATGCCATACTTTCCGTTTCTTCCTGTTTGAATGAAGTCTGCATAGAAGGCCGCCATTATCTGCTTCCACTCTTTCAATACATCATTATAATGAGGAAAGTTCATTAAAAAAAGGACCAAGCTTAATTATCCAAGAAAATATGCCATAGCTTAAAATAGATAGTTACTCTTTCCCAAAGCTCAATTTGGAATATGCCTACCTATTAGTAAGTTTTTATAACTTTAAATTCAGTTTCATCGTCGTAGTCATAATATTATTCCGAAATCGTCTTCTTTTTCGTGAATTATAAATACTGAAAGCAAAATTTGTTTAAGATGAAACTCTGACTAGGTTTAAACGTAACTTTGTCGTTGCAGTCAAAAAATGTAAAGTAAAATGAATGAAATGGGATAGGCATTGTAAACTGGTGATAGTTCGCTGTACTAATTAGCAATGTAGCATTTACATCGTGATACTACAGTATATCGTTTAATATACTTGTTGTATCCAATGTTCATATTTATGCCATATATGCCAACGACATGCATTTACATTGCACCTCGTTTGTCGATAAATGAGTGTTGCTTGCCAACAGTGTACGGAAACTGACTGTCTCTGAACACGTGTGTTTGAGGCGATGAGATCATGAAAGAGTGCAAAAAGATACCTTATTACAATACGTGTTGACTGCTACCTGTCAAACCCTCATAACATCAACGAATGATTATGAGCAGCTGAGAGTAACACGGTCCTACCACTGAACACTTGTTCTTTCCGGCAATACTAAACTTTCAGGGGACCTAACATTTTATCCAAGACTTTTAAGATATTAAGAACCATGCCAGCAATATAGTATTCCAAGAAGGACTCATCTAATCTGCTCGTCCAGAATTTAAAACAAGTCCCCAGAAGTATGTTAAAGCAGAACAAGTGATGACTAATTTACTAATTTTATTGTGTATAGTTTTAACTCAGGGGGAAGATCATTCTCTCTTAATCACCGCAATAAAACAAAGATGAATTATTTTCTTTTGAAATATAATAATAATTAAAAAAACAGATAAGATAATCCTTTGCGTCTTAAAGACTATAATAAATACATTCTATTTTTCTCTCGGAAGTTATGAAGGAAAAATGTGAATCAATACATAAACTAGTTGATTTTAAAACATCATTATACGTTTAATCAGTTAATGGCCGACGCTAAGTCTCTAAGAACATGTGACGAATACTAAATGAAACAGAAAGATAATTAATTGAAAAGGAATTGCGTTGTTTCCTTCCAGTGTCACCTTTTGTCTTCCTGTATTGGAGTGATAATCAATGCAATCGTTGTATTTTTTTAAATAATCAACATCGCTTATAAATATAGCAAATGGGTATAATGACCCTGTCAAATTTATAAGTATTGGGATTCATATTAACCCATTTTCTTTCGTAGTTCTAACTGAAATGAAAATAAAGGAATGAGACATAATGAGAAATCTTCTCTGAATGAATATTCTTAAAGTTTTCCAAATCAGAAAGGTCATTGTACTTTGAATGACTGTCACGTGATTCATTCACCCTTGATCATATGCAATTATCATTTGATTATAATTATTCGAAATACTGGGTTCATGTAAGCAGCTTTTTCTCATTCTTATCCTATATACCTGATGGCTTATTACAATGGCTTTTATTTTTAATTTATTAAGTCTTTTTTCTTCAGAGAGGGTACGCAAATGACATCTGTAATATCAATAATAAAATCTAATGAAAGAAATCACGTTCTTCTGCTGTGAAGGTTACAATTTGAAGTGACATAACCAACTTCGTCATTGGCATTTGAAATAAAGCGATGAGCAGTTGATTTTCAATTATATTTTTTTACAGCAACATTTAAATACGAAATGATGTAAAGCAATTAATGAATAAATACATTTAAGACATTTGAGAATACAAATTAAAGGAATAATTATGATGATATCATTCTAAAAAAAGTATAAGAACAATACTTTTACTTTGTAAAGTTCTTTTTATCAGTATGATTAAACAACAATAATATTGTAGAATATATTCTTCAACCATACCTTTTTGAAAGGTCCCTTCCTCAAACACCAATGATATATGTTTTTGTCAATGTATACGTCTGTTCCTGATAGTAACCATATGGCCTTTCTCTCACAAGTCTAACCACGGGAATCCAATCAATTCACAACAATAAAGATATGATTGAAGAAAAGGAAATATGACAATTTTTCTTTTCCGATTGACAAGTTTTGCCCCTTTCCTGTTTCTAATGAATTCAAGGAGGAGAGGAATGAGATATTGCCGAGATCGTAAGAATTGATAACTGTATTTGTCACTGCCCCTGTTGAATAAACTTTCGATTCACATACAGTTGACTCAGACTTGCAGTAACATTAAACAAGTAATCACATTACTTTCAAAAAAAGAATTTAGATAACATAACTACACAATGCAACTGTCATTTTCATATTAAACAGCATAATCATTTAAATTATTCATTCATTTTGATAACTCGGGTTCTTCATGCCCCCCCCCTCCTGTTTAGATGGAATCTCTGTTCTATCCTTTGGATTTTCAATTCTTCATATTATATGTTAGGATTGATTTAAAATACACAAATTATTTAGTATTTTTTGGAATAATTATCATTTCTCATTCCTTCCTGATCATTTTTTTTATTAGGCCTATTTGTTGACCCTCTTATTTTCCCTGAATGAAATAAATTTGTACAGTCTAGCTCCTTATAAAGTACAGGCATGGTTTCATTTAAAATAGTCGCAAAATGTATGATGTTTGTTGATTCAAACTCACAAGTAGTATTGTCATAATACATGTACATGCAGAAGGGTTGATAATTACATTGTACATACAATGTGTCAAAGTACCGGTGTGTATAGAAATAACAAATAATAAACCTAGACGGAGTTACATGTACATGCATGTACATGTATATTACCTTCCCGTGTTATTTTGTATTTATAATACGATATAATGAACGTAGTAGTACTAGTTATACTCAAAAGCAAAGTGGAAGCAGTTGGTAGACTATGAATATAATCACGTTATCATGGTGCAAAACATTATTGATGTACAAAATTGTAACGCCTTGTTTTATGAGCGCACGGAAGTCGTCAAAATAAGCAAGTAATTTACCCCTTACACCGTGCATAGAGTAGTCGGCAAGCATTTTTTGGCTTTCAAGTCAGTGTGAAAGAATAATCTTTGGGCAGGTCGGTCGTCTGTCCTCCTTATCACATCGAATTAGCAAAATTGAGAGCGATTTTGACGCCATGGCCTGCGTACAATCAACAGATTCTTTTCCGGTGTACCGGGGAGAGGGGTAACATGACGTGAGGGATACAAAAACGAAAATGGCAGAGCGGTTATTATCGTCGTTTTCTTCTTTTTTTGCTTCGTTTGGTGAATAATCATGGAACACCATGGTTTAGAAAAACATTTTAAACTTGACCTTTGCGCTATGTTAATCGTTATTTCATGGTGATGATGAATGTACATAGTATATGAACGAAACGTTCTCGATTTATTAATTTGAGCTTAGATATTATTTTGATTATTATCCGTGTAGAATGTAGTTTGTTTTGTCGATATATTATGCACGAAACGAGGACAATACTTATTGATCTTTATGTACATCTTAAATAATTATTGATTTGTTTTTTTATTTGGAATAGAATTCGATTTATACCTGAAGATAATTGATATCTTCATGTTTAAACATTATTGTAAAAGGAAAACGATAGCCCTCCCCCCCCCCCCCCCGCTCTGGAGTATGTATAGGTCCTACATTGTATACCATGTAAATTTGACGCCAATTAGAAGGCAATGCATGGTATAAACTATTCGTCATAGTCTCGAACCCTATCACTTGCAATTCTGTTCCTTGAATAGGTTAATCATGTTAATATGTTAATATCTAGCTTTAATAGCTTTCAAGTTCACTTAACACCCGCCTCCCCGAGAAAACATTCAACCCGTTCCTTAATGATAAATGCCAAATGTGAGGTGAAGTCCCTAGCGTTTTGATGAGTCTCCCATGCCTTTTCTTTGTGCTATTCATCCATAACTGGATGTTTGCAGACGTTTGTAAAGTTCAGAGATGCCCTATAGGAATGAGCGGCACATTTCACCTTTTAGCCCTCCCTATTCTCACACCCCACGTCGTAAACAGGAGGCAGATATTGTACGTATCACTGCTCATGTCCGTCAGCCCCTTGCCGGGTTTTTCATCGAGGCGTTACTTGAACTCGACCGGTGAAGTGGCCCGGACCCGTCAAACATGATGTCGTGGTGCATGGTGCGTAGCTATCAATAGCTCGCACAACGTTGGGCCTCGCTGAATCTCGTCATCGCGAGGGCTATATCCGATGTTTCTCCAACTCACTTGCCTGGACATGAGCTTGTAAACTTGAACTTCAGCTCAAAGCAGGATATAAATATCACTAGTGGTGCATTCTATCAATAAGCCTTCGCGGATGGGGCGGTTTCTCGTGTTACCCCTCCGGAACTTCGAATCAAATA